ATGATTTTTTTTTATAGGATTTCAAAGTTCATGATCTATTCTCACCTAAAAGAGTGAAATTTTCAAGTCCGTTCAAAGTCAATGAGTCTCATAGAGTTGTTGCCGTTAAATATATGAAGCAAACAATGGTGTTTGAATAGAGTCTATGATGAATCCCAATCAATCACAAAATCCATCAAGCAAACAACTCCTACTCGAGCGATTGGGAGAGGTCGAGAACTTATTTGCCATCATTTTATATGCTAACATACGAGTTTGAAGTTTCCACATAAATTATATACTTTATGTTTGAATCAATTGTTAATATTAAAGGTTGGAAGAATTCAAATACAATACTTTTCAACTAAATACTATAATGCAATGTGAAAAGAGCAATTGGTGAAGAGGAACCAATTGGTATAAGAGATACACAATGGAATATTATATATCACTCCTATGATCATTATTTCTATTATCTCTTTTTTTTATAACTAAAGGGGTCGTTTGTTTTCTTCGACTATTTTCATTATTACAATGCTCATATACAATGCAATTTTTTTATGTAGACACGATACATGCATAGTTGTATATATTTTTGTTCCACTTTTATTCTTTACAAAGTACATTTTTCATTGGAAAGAAGAGATACAAGTGATATTTTCCTTAAAAATGACGTTTAAACTTTGAATTCTATAATACATCAAATTCATGAAGATGTATCATAATTAATCAATTTTAACAATGGAAAAGCCAAACCATACTAACACTAATTCTAGGGGTGGGCATTGGGTGGGTCGGGTGGATTTTGACCATAAAATGCACCCACCCGCGCTTAAACGGATTGATAATTTTTAACCCACCACCCACCCACATTTAGTCTCGGGTTGGGTCGGGCGGATGGTGGATGATTTGGGTGGGTTTGTGGGTTCACCCACATCACAATGTATATAATATAAAGGAGTCAACTTGACATGATAATAGGCGAAGAGAATTATCTGGGGAAACAAGAAGATGAAATAGGGCGAAAAATGTCGAATTAGTTCTTAAAACGGATAGAAATTCTATTATGAAAGAGTTTTCTACAGATTGAGATGATTATCAGGTGCAAGGAACTAAGAAAAATAATTCCACAAAGGAAAGAGCAGTGATCTAGGCACAAGAATTAGAGGAAAAAATAAAGGGAAGAAGAGGAGATCGCTATTTGGAAGGTTGGCTTTGAGGTTCAAACTCCAGGAGCAGTCCTAGTTTATGTCTAACGTCTCCACTCTCCCCTCTCTAGCGCCGACGACTTTGATCTTTTTGCTGTTGGGTTGAGCGGGTCACCCGCGCACCCACCCACAACCCACCCACCACCCGGCGGATGGCTTCCAGCGCAACCCGTCACCCACCCATAGACCCACCCACTTAACGAAATTCGGGTCAAATGCGGGTGGGTCGGCCCAAACCCGCGGATGATCCGCCCGCATGCCCAGCCCTAACTAATTCTGTGTAATTTCTCTTACCAAAACTCCTACGTGTGGTACATATATATTTGTGTTTTCAAGTAAGAAAGATCGGTATATATTTATTATGGGTTAATTGCATGGTTGGTCACTGAGATTACAAAAAACGTTCAAATTTGGTCACTCGAAATATTTAAATCCATTGGTGGTACTTCAAATTATTGAAACCGTTCACGTTTGGTCACTCTCCGTCCAACTCCGTTAACTTTTGCTTACGTGGCGGTCAATTCTAAAAGTTGACCGTTAAATGTGTGACGTGGCAATTTAAAAATAATAATTAAATTAAATTAAAATTTTCAAAATTATCATCTCATTTCCACCTCATTATCACTTTTATTTAAAATAAATAAATAAACCTAATCTCTTCCGTTGCCCGATCTCCCTCGACGTCATGAAATCCCCGGTCAGTCTCACCACCAGCGTCACCTACGAACGGTCCAACATCCAGAAATGGCTCGAGACCGGCCACGACATGTGTCCGGCCACCGTGTAGATCCTCCCGTCCAAGGATTTTGTCCCCAACCTCACTTCCTCCGCCTCATCAACCTGTTGAACCAGTCCTCTTCTTCCCGCTGTCCCGCCGCTTCCGAGGAACAGGTCCGAATCTGGATTCAAAAAATTCGAAGCGCCAGCGAGAGGAAGGAAGAGTGTCTATCGCTTCTATCTCATGTTGTCGAATTCCCCGGCTGCTCCGATTACAACCGACAGGTTTTGGTCGGAATCGAGGGTTTTGTCGAAACAATTGTGGGGAAGATTGGGGAGTCGGAGATGGCGGTTAGGGTTTTGCGGTTGGTCTCCGAGGAGAACGGCGTCAAGGAGAAATTGCACAGGTTGTGGATTCTCCAAAGCGGCGATTGAATTCGACTGTCGTAATTGACTTCTAGACTCGATTTCAATCGACAATGAATTGAAATGTTTCATCAGCCTTCCCCAATACCAAGGCTCCCTGGATTGTCTCCTTCCCCGCGTCAACACTCAACACCCACAATGCTCCTCAGCCTCACCATGTATTGGGGATTAGAATAAATTATGTTTATTTATTTATTTTAAATAAAAGTGATAATTAGGTGAAAATGAGATGATAATTTTGAAAAATTTAATTTAATATTTTTAAATTGCCACGTCACACATTTAACGGTCAACTTTTAGAGTTGACCGCCACGTAAGCAAAAGTTAACGGAGTTAGACGGAGAGTGACCAAACGTGAACGGTTTCAATAATTTGAAGTACCACCAATGGATTTAAATATTTCGAGTGACCAAACTTGAACGTTTTTTGTAATCTCAGTGACCAACCATGCAATTAAACCCTATTTATTATTGGGTCAAAAGTAGGGTTTCGTTCATTCTTTCTCTGCACGCGCATTTATTACTTCTCAGTAGTACTACTTGCAGTTTATTTTGAGCTAGATTAAACCTTAGCTTTTATCGGTTAGAACTTGGAATGATGGAAATACCATAGAAGGTAAATGTAAGATTTAATGACAATTGGAACATGTTACTTACTCGCGTTAGGTAGAAGGAAAAGTATTTTGATCACATTGAAAGACAACCGGTCCGGTTGAAAATTTCTTGAAACAATAATAATAATAATGCAAATATTTATTTGAGTTTTTTTTAATGAATTATTATTTGAGTTTAGTCATAAGCAAGGATTGAAATACTGCCGTACCGGCGGTTTGACGAGAAAAACCTTCTACCAGATGATAAATTGGTATGCGATATTTAGCTGTATGAAATAGTTGAATCACAATTAAACCACGATTTTAACATAAAATATCTTATCTCAAATTTTTCCGTTACGATATTTCAATCCTTGGCGAGAAGCGATTCTTCTTAAGAAGGTTCATTTGGATATTTAATTAAGAATATTAGGACGGATATTCCTAAACATGCAAACAGAATCTTTCGGTTCGGCAGATTCAATCATCAAAAGATCGTCTAAGGCAGGGGCGGAGCTATGTAGGCTCTCGGGGGGGGGGGGGGGGGGGGGGCGGCCCCCCGAGAATTTTAAAACTTACGTACGTATAAAGTCGTAGAAAATTCAGATAATTACGTATAAATTTAATGTAGCATATAGATAAAACCGATTGAAGAATTGTTGCCATGATAGGTTACAACCTAGCGGAGATGGTGTTTTGTTACACCAAAAGGGTAACAGTTTCGATCCTGGTAGGCGGCAATTTTAATCTTACTATTTTTTTCCCCAGTTAAATCTATTAATTTTCCTGCTTTGTCTTATAAACCTTGCTTTTTCTTGAATTTCTACATTCATATTTTCAAGGAGTTTTCTTTGGATAATTAATTAATTTATACAAACATTAATATAATCATAAAATCATATTCAATGTATAATAATATGGAAAAACTTACATGATACTTTTTCCATAGTATAATCATTTACTTTGAGCATAGCATAGTAGAAAAACTTTAAACTAATTCTAGTTTGAGTTCTTTTGATTATTTTAATTAATGTTATACGTTATATACTTATATATATCTTTATTTTTTAGTATTTTGGCGATAATGTGCTAAGTTACTCCGCCCCCCCCCCGAACTTTAAATCCTAGCTCCGCATCTGATCTAAGGATAATATCCCTCTCCCGTCTTTGGTTCTTCTGTATATCCTGGCAAATGGCAACGGAATAAATTGGTATGTGTCCATACAAAAAATCACTCCGATCCATAGGTTTTGTTTCCTAACAAATAATCATATAGATTTAAAATATATATTAAACGATCGCGTAAGCATTACGTAACAGTGAATTTATTCAACTTCCATCCATTTTCCCTTCCAATATGCATATATATACAACTTGAGAGGAGAGTGGGCTTAACTATTAGGAGTGTTCTAACGGATTGGTTATCGTAGTAACCATTTTAACCGATAGTATTCGGATAACTTGATTTGATTAATTTGGATAATTGGTTTGATTTGATTAAATTGTTTTAGCATGTTTGGTTTAGATGATTTGATTTGGTTTCAAATCGTACACATATATAACCAATCAAATAAATCAAACAGTTAGCTATATATATTATATATATCATACTTAATCATTTCTATAACTACTAAAAAGTACAGTTTTCCTTCCTTTATTATGACCCACAAAAAAACATATAACTTGTTATTGTATCTATACTACATTTGTTCTTGTGGAGTGTATACAACAACATAGAAGCATCTAAATTTAGATAAAAACTCATACGCCATATGATATGATGGATGAAACCTGAAAGAGAGAAGAGCTTTTTCTGCGTCTGATGATTGCTAAGAGACAAATATAATATTTGTTACGTAGTTACTCCTAATGACTGTAAAATAATTGTATTAGTTGCATGTATTTATATAAAAAATTAACTATGTGATGATTGTTATGTTTTATTCATTATATAACGTACAAAATGATGCATTAAAAGAAGATTTTTTTTCTTACATAATGATATTGTTATGTTATATTGACAAGGTACGTCGTCTGGTAAACTTACTCTGATAATGTCTCTATGTATACAGGTCGCAATCTGAAGTAACTCTCCATTTATGCTTCCGGCTATCCGTCTATAAGAAGAAGAAGAAGAAGAAGAAGAAGAAGAAGAAGAAGAAGAAGAAGAAGAAGAAGAAGAAGAAGAAGAAGAAGAAGAAGAAGAAGAAGAAGAAGAGAGATAATTATAATGTGGAAGCTGAAGATAGCGGGAGACGGGGAGTGGGTGAGCAGCGGCAACGGCAACGTCGGACGGCAAGAGTGGGTGTTCAACCCAACCGCCGGCACGCCGGAAGAGAAGGCCGCCGTTGAGAAGGCTCGCCGGGAATTCAAGAACAACCGATTCAACGCCAAGCAGAGTGCTGATCTACTCATGAGAATGCAGGTACGTCATATAAATTCTTTTTTGTCGATTTTTTTTATATGATTTCTCTCAAAGTTTTTATTGGATGACTGACAAAAAAGATGAATTGTTTTTTTTCCCCCCCAATTTTTTTGTATTTATGAAGGCAATCCGTAATTTGTTGTCAAGTTAAATTATTTTTATTTACTTCCCATTTCCAACAGCTTACCAAGGAAAATCCCATAGAGGAGATTCTTGAAGCCGTGAAACTGAAGGAGAGTGAGGAGATAACAGAAGAAGCGATTTCAACCACGTTGAGAAGAGCAATTAATTTTTACTCGTCGATTCAGGCTCACGATGGACATTGGCCTGCTGAATCTGCTGGTCCTTTATTTTTCATGCCCCCATTGGTAAATAAATATATATATATATATATATATATATATATATGGCAAAGGCTAGCGTACGCCCGGACGTACCCTAGCCTACCGTACGCCCATTGAGTTTTGCTATTTAGACAATGAATTAATCGGAGTTTGGGGCATGATATTATACCCTAACCCCTAATGGGTGAACTCCAATCTGCAATTCACTAACCCAAAGCATAATATTCATTTAATCTTGAAATGAAAATCAACGGTTTTGATTCGTCGAAATTATTGTTGATTTTCATTTCAAGATTAAACGAATCTCATGATTTGGGTTAGAAAACTAGGGACTGGGGTTTATCCATTAGTGGTTAGGGTATAGTATCATGCCCAAAACTTCGGTTAATTCATGATCTAAATAGCAAAACTCAAACGGGCGTACGGTAGCCTAACGTAGACTCACTTTGTCTTTCGTTTTTTCGAGTAACATGTTAAAATGGTCATATGTACTACCAGTAACAAGATGGATCACAAACATTTATAACGTAACAAAAAAAATTTACATACGTATCGCGCAATATAACAATAATAGAGTCATTTATTCTCTTATCATCGTGAAATTTTTATTACCGATCCAAAAAAAAAATGTGTAACCATTTTGATCAAATACACTTGGTTTTACATGCCCCATTTTTTGTACATGAACTTAATTGTTTAATTATTTATGTGTTGATGTGTTGGCAGGTAATTGCGTTGTATGTAATGGGATCACTCAACTCCGTCTTATCATCTGAACACCAAAAGGAAATCAAGCGTTACATTTATAATCACCAGGCAAGTCACTATTAATTCCACTGTTAAACTTATGGTAGCTAGGCTCTTTCATTTCTGTTTTATTTTATATATTGTGTGACTATGACAGTAGTAACAACAAAAAAATGATATGCTACAGATTCCGGATAATAAAAAAAACTGGAAAAAAAAACAACCTGAAAATCAAAACCTATCTAGCTAGAATTTTTATGAATTCTGAAACTGAAACCTCAATGATGGTAGAATCTATGAAATCCAAATTAACGAAACCCTGAATGATGGTAGAATTTATTTATTAGAGAAGAAACTAGATAGCTTTTTAAATTTCTAGTGACGTTTCTGAAAATGAATATAAAAGGAAAGTTCTATCCAATAAAAAAAAAGATAGAATTTAGATATCAAATAAAAATTAATGGACTAAAAGAAAAGTACTGCAAAATAAGTGTTAGTCATATTATTTTGAACATTTCAAGCGTTACATTTATAATCACCAGGCAAGTCACTATTAATTCCACTGTTAAACTTATGGTAGCTAGGCTCTTTCATTTCTGTTTTATTTTATATATTGTGTGACTATGACAGTAGTAACAACAACAAAAATGATATGCTACAGATTCCTGATAAATAAAAACTGGGGAAAAAAACAACCTGAAAATCAAAACCTATCTAGCTAGAATTTTTATGAACTCTGAATCTAAGAAGTGTTACATATTCCTCTCTAATATTTCGTATGAGACTATATATGTTATATGTAACGGTATGATCTCGCTTTAAATTCTGACTTTGTCGCTGATAATACAGAACGAAGACGGCGGGTGGGGACTGCACATAGAAGGCCACAGCACAATGTTCGGTTCAGCACTTAGCTACATTTGCTTGAGACTCCTTGGTGAAAGCCCAGAAGATGGGGAAGACATGGCTGTCTTCAAAGGTCGGAAATGGATTCTTGATCATGGCGGCCTTGTCAGCATCCCTTCTTGGGGAAAGTTTTGGGTTTCTGTAAGTAAATTTATTTTTCCATCCTAACTTTTTGTATATAGTCAAGTAAAAAATCATACTTGACCAAATTTTTTTTGTGTTGCATTATTATACAATGCCATAATGTAGGTTTTAGGGCTTTACGAATGGTCAGGATGCAACCCATTTCCCCCAGAGTTTTGGCTTGTGCCATTGTGCTCTCCTATTCATCCAGGTTTAGTCCAAATTCGAAAAGATATTTCATATATCTTGTGAGTTAATGGTTAGTGGCAAAAGGACTGCAGTGGATTCATGGATTGAATTAAAATAGATTAATGAATTTATGGATTTGATTAGTGGATCCAAGAGCTCTAAACTTTTGACCATTTTGAAAAGTTGAGGGTATCATTTTGAAAAGTTTAGTTGTATTTTGTAATAGATGAGTTGGATTGGATTGGATTGGATTGGATTCAAATTAAATTGTCACCTCTAGTACATTGGCAACATTCATATGGTGTATATATATAATCTTGTAGGCAAGATGTTGTGTTATTGTCGGCTGGTTTACATGCCAATGTCCTATCTTTATGGGAAGAGGTTTGTTGGTCCGATCACCGGGTTAATCCGGACGTTAAGAGAAGAACTTTACAATGAGCCATATCATCAGATCAACTGGAATGCCGCCAGAAACACAGTTGCAAAGGTAATAAAAAAATAGATGGCGATGAAATTATGACTTAGTACACCATACAATTAGTCTTTTAGCTTGATTGCTAATTAAATTTTGTTTTTTACTTACAAACTTTAATAGATTTGATTTAATTTGATTTAGGAGGATCTGTATTACCCACACCCTCTTGTGCAAGACATGACATGGGGATTCATCCACCATTTCATGGAGCCGTTATTAACACGTTGGCCATTCTCCAAGCTGAGGAAGAAAGCACTAAAAGTAGCCATGGAACACATACACTACGAGGATGAGAACAGCAAATATCTCTGCATTGGATGTGTTGAAAAGGTTCTCTGTCTAATGGCTTGTTGGGTGGAAGATCCCAATTCAGATGCATGTAAGAAACACTTGGCTAGGCTCCAAGATTACTACTGGATTGCTGAAGATGGCCTCAAAATGCAGGTATCCATGTCGAGATGTTCGAAAACTCTAAAATCGAAAACTGGAGTCAGATATCTCAAACGAGTATTATACGGGTATTAGAATGAGTTTTTTGCTAACTGTGCTTGTGATTGCAGACATTTGGGTGTCAAACTTGGGATGCGGTCTTTGCAATTCAGGCAATCATGTCGAGCAACTTGTGTGACGAGTACTGGCCAACTCTCAGAAAAGCGCACGAATTTTTGAAAGCTTCACAGGTGAAGTATTTTCGTGGAACGGTCCGGTGATTAAATTTCTTATAGTTTGACTGGTTTTCTTTGTATCTAAAACAACACAAGACTTGTGTTACAAGGTACGAGAGAACCCTAGTGGTGACTTCAAGGCAATGTACAGGCACATGTCAAAAGGGTCATGGACCTTCTCAACCCAAGATCATGGGTGGCAAGTTTCCGATTGCACTTCTGAAGGACTCAAGGTGAGTTAATAGCTTCCACCTCCCATTAATTTTTTTTTTAATGTCGTTACGTTAATTAACAAAGCAAGTGATACATAATACGAGATCGAGAGAAGCGTTTAACGACTAATGTTATGTCTTTATGTAGTGTGTACTTCTATACTCTCAAATGTCTAAAGAACTCGTGGGGCAGCCGATGGAAGCAGAACAGTTGTTCGATGCTGTTAATGTCATTCTTTCTCTCCAAGTAAGCACATATATGAAGCTATCTAGCTAGCAACCCACAATCATATTATTACTCAAAAATGTTAATGCTTTCAAGATCTTGAAGTTGTGGAAGTTGTGGAATTAAGATTTCTTGTTTCTGAACGTGAAAATGCAGAGCAAGAATGGGGGATTTCCAGCTTGGGAGCCACAAAGAGCATATGGGTGGTTAGAGGTGATCAATCAAAGCTCGATCTACAACTCCAAACTCCAATCAAGTTCCTAATTATATTGATCAATTATCTTTTCGATTACAGAAGTTCAATCCAACATAGTTCTTCGAAGACACATTAATTGAGCGCGAGTAAGAGACATCGAGATTTGCACTATGTTTTTCTTTTTCTTGAATGCTAAGTAAATGGTTAACATTGACTATCATCATGTAAAATTTGCTACAGATACGTGGAGTGCACAGGATCAGCAATTCAAGGTCTTGCCATGTTCAGGAAACACTACCCTAGACACAGAAGCAAGGAAGTTGATGCAGCTATTGCCAGAGGAGCCCATTACATTGAACAAACACAAAAGGATGACGGCTCGTGGTACGTACTACTTTTTTTTCCCATTATCAAATATAGTACTTCTTGCTTGTTAACCAAGTAATATAATGTACCAAGGTCGTAACCTAGGGATGAGAGAACCTATTTGTATATCAGGTATGGTTGTTGGGGGATTTGCTACACCTATGGGACTTGGTTTGGAGTGGAAGGACTGGTTGCTTGCGGTCGAAGCTACACAAACAGCCTAGCCCTACGCCAAGCATGTCGATTCTTGTTGTCTAAGCAACTCCCTTGTGGTGGATGGGGGGAGAGCTACCTCTCTAGCCAAAACAAGGTCAACCAATTTTACCTCTTATTGTGATATCCGATTAGGGTAATGAAAACAAAGACAATCTCTTAAATAACAGTAGTGAAAAACAAATACAGGTATATACCAATTTGAAAGGGGATAGGGCAAACCTAGTTCAAACTGCATGGGCATTGCTCTCTCTTATTCATGCCGGTCAGGTAACTAGCATTCAAAATTAATCCGCAATCTAAAACTTATCGTCGTGATATTACAACAGTGTCGCAACAACATTGATTTCGTCAAAAAATCGTACGTTGATCATGTAACAGGCTAATGTGGATCCAACACCGATTGAGAAGGGGATAAAGCTGTTGATCAATTCACAAATGGAAGACGGTGACTTCCCCCAACAGGTAAATCGATAATAGTAATAAATAATCACAGTAAATTATGAAGAACTTTTTTTACTGATTTAGGGTTTTGGTATTTTTTTTGTGAACAGGAACTCACAGGAGCTTTCATGAGGAATTGTACACTGCATTATTCCTCGTACAGGAACATCTTCCCCATTTGGGCTTTGGGAGAATACAAAAGATGTGTTCTGTATGCATAAACTATACGGGTGGTTTAATTTTTCCCAAGGTTTTTTCAGTATATTGTTTGTCTGAAATTAATTATATGTTTAGTGTGATGTTTGTAAGTACACAGAATAATAAAGTGGCCTATTTGGTGGTCAAGAAGGTCCTGGATTTGTTTCCTAGGAGGTGTGATGGTTTTAACTTTAAAGTGTGGTTATGCTCAGAAGTTGGATTAATGTAACTTTCATTTTTTTTAGTAATACAAGCTATCTCTTTCGACAAAAAAAATAATAATTATATGTATATGATCAAGAATACATAATGACTAGGAATGAAGTGGCCAGATCTAGTGGCTAGGAGGGGCTTAGTCAAGTAACTAAGGACCCCCTTTAGTCATGGGATTCGCACTCCATTGTATGGCCAATGGCCGAGTTCCGTATCCGAAACTACATGTGTTCTCTTTTTAGTATATTATTACGAATAATATCCAAAATAATTAATTCATAAATAACTAATACAATAATTGTTTACGTAGACAGCCACAACGTTTTTCTTCACATAAGACTAATGCACAAAAATGGTTGCTAATAACACTGATTCGGTGTAATTTCTCTTAGCAAAAACTTCTGTGGGTGGGTCTGTATTCTATACATATTTATTTATTTTTTGGCAAGAAAGGTTTATATATTTTTTTGGGTCAAAAGTCTGGTTGGATCATGTGCTTAACCCTATAGATTTAAAGATTTGTTTAAGCCATTTTTATTGACTAATAGTGGATTAGGTAGTTAATGAGTGGTTCATTGTTGATAGATAGTGAAGAATAAATAGGGTATTATGAAAATATAAATTAATATTAATAATTAATAATTAATAATTTTATTTCTCTCATCCTATCGTAATCTTCTCCTTAACCTCTCTATCCACTACAATTAAAAGAAAAATTCGAAATTAAGTAAATTAAATATTAATATTTAATAAATTTGAACTTAGCATTTTTCTTTCTTAAAATGAAAATTAAAATTATCCGTCTCTCTCACTTCTTGACAACTTTTGCAATGGCATTATCAACGTTTATTAAGGTTTTCAATATACTTATCAATTCCTTACAATTACATTGTTAACAATTTTAGATAAATTGTTACCGTTTTACATTTTTGTCATCAACGCTTATGAATGTATCATTAAAGTTATATAACATTGTCCTTTGAATAACAGTATCATTGATATACATCATTTTTACTAATGACTCACATTTTCAAGTCATGTTTATAACTCTCTAGTCATGGTCTCTTGACTTATAATGGCATTGTTAACATTTTGCAATCAATAGATATTGATTAACATTATCGTTCTCAATGATCATAAATGACAATATTGATCTTCAACATTTGTGACATAGTGCACCTGTAATTCAATCTAGCAAACATTAGTAAAGAAAAACCATTGCAACTTGAACGAGCGAGGAAAATGTTAATAATGATAACAAAAAATTTAATAAATGAAAAGTTAAAAATTACCGCGAATTGGTAACTGAAGCATTAATAGTTAAAATTTAGTAATCGTAGCAAAAGCTTTGATAACTTAAAAATGAAAGGTTAACAATGGTAACAAAAAAAGTTAATAATAAAAATGCAATGAGACTAGGTCGGTGCTGGTATCAGTATTAAAATAGTTAAACACGTTAAAGTACGTAATTGTGAAAGAGGACTATGCCAGTTGGTGGTGGAGGTGGACTGGCACAGGAGAAATCATATGTTCGATCCTTAATTACCTTTTGTCAATTTTGCATTAGCTAGAAACCCTTGAATAGCATTTGCCGTCCAATATTTATCAACTAGCTCATTGCCCGGCCTTTGGCCGGACGCAGTCTTGTAACTGATGTTACTCGTTAACATGTATGCGGCGATGACCGGAGGTAGGTCAACAATACCACAATAATATGATAGAAAGTCATTATCTCATTGCATTATAAAAGAAACAGTAAAACATAAACACTATAATGGACAATCCAAACCAAGCCATTAGCCTTCAATATAACCAATATAGCCATGCACCATGATGCCCCTAGAGTGAACATGAAAAAACCAAAGGAATGCTTACCTGACTCCAACTATCGATGGTAAAAATGGAAGTCACCAAGAGATTTCATAAGAAAAATCCAATATAGATTGCCCTTAGACCAAAAACCACAATGATACAAAAGGCGATGAATCTCTGGCTGAGAAAACAAAAACCAGCAATGTCCAAACCAACTCGATGGAATGCGTTGGCCAGTTTTTGTTTATAAATAGTTTTGTTAATTAAAATGACAGGAAAAAAAAAAAGAAATACAAAGCATGCAATTTGCTTTAGAAATCTCATATACAAACAAAAGAAACAGGCAAGCAATATATGCCTGGAAGCACCAACAGATAATAACTTCTGCCAATATACCTCCCCATTATTACGATTCTTATCCTTCTCGACAACAAACACACTGATTGGTCCACTCTTACTCCTTTTTCGTGGAAGCTACATGACATTTTGCATCATTGCACATTAATTCAAACAACCATTCCTTGCTGCAATATATGGTTTGGGGTAATATCACTTCAGTCATAATACAAATTTACATGAAATGAAGGAAATGATCATTATAATAGTCTTGTAAAATTTAGAGTACCAATGGCGATTCCTCTCTTCTCCTTGGTGGCTTCGGCAATAAAATGAGATTGATGACTATCTCTACCAACGTATTTTATACGATCATTGTATGACCTTTTGTATAAACCATTTCTGTCTCACCCATTTTCGCATCACAACTGCAAGAGCTAACTTGTTGGGGTTCTCTTCTAGGTAAACAACTTGTATCAACATCATGCATGAAAACAAAATTGTTTTGTTTGAGATACTATCAGGATCTTGTGATGCAATGAAGAAGGCTAAACCGTTTCCCAGGCATTGTCAACCCCCAATCAATTTGATGTGAGTCATTGCTCTCTTACCATCTAAATTAAATAGGAAGCTCAGGTTGGCCTCTTTTATAGCTTCACTTGACAATTTCTTAGAGGAGATAAAATCACGATTCACAATTTTAGAACAACCACCTCAGATAATACAATCTTATGGAAACAACACTAATGAAGCATCCAAATTACAATTCCATACATGTTTCCTATGAGGGTGTGCATGTGAAAATTAAGAAAAATATAATGATTAAGAAGAGAGCTTACTTGGCACCCCACTTTGAGGAGCAAAAATCCCGTCAATAAATTCCAGGTGGAGATGTCCAATCGATCGGGTCTAGACATGCGTATATATCAACATGCTATACTAAAAACACAAAGAGTTCGGTTTGTCCTTCTCATGACAACATATTCTCATCATGTATTTATTCCTTGTAGAGAGAATGATACCAAACCATCTTGTATATGCTCCAATTATGGTTATCACTCATATTTTTTTATATTTTAGTAATTAGAACCCCACTTTTAAATCTGGAAGCAAGTGACACTCTCACAAAACATCATATTGTAAAAACTTATCTGCAATCATGAGGTTATTTCACTCAAAAGAAACCATGTTTTATATGTTGAAGATTAGCATTATAGCTTGAATAGTTTAATTCGGAAATGATCTCAACTCTTACATATAAATTTTGTGTAAAAGTGGTATGATTGAGCGTTTAGTAGGCCGGGAGCCCGGGACACTGTTTATCTTTAATCAACTCAAAAGTCAACCTAGAAGATCAACCAGATGAACTAATGTTAAGAGATCACACATTACTGTCAAAGAAGCTAAATAATCCACCAGTCAGCTCTCCAAGAACACTCAAACTTTCCATATCTACCCCTCCGAAAATTGCTTTGCGTAACAATATAGGTTGAGGAGGTCAGACGGTTGTCAAGTCCGGTGGGAAGGTTAGGCGAGACTGCGATGGTTGAGCGTTAGTAGGTCGTGACACCATTTAGACCCATTTACATTAGTTGCGTCTTTTCAATCCGCATTCGACAAACCAACATCACTCAACCTTTCCATATTTACCCCTCTTTTAAAGACACATGTGCCTCGTATTCAATCAAAACTTTTATGTTCAAAAATATTGTTGCTTTATGGTAGTTATACTATTTAAGTCTATGTCAAGATTTCTGCATCGCTTCTACACATTCAATACTGCAATTCGATGTGCAATATTTGCACCAATGACATTAGGCTTGCGATTTTAAAATTATTCTCCTTTTATAAGATAAATAGAAATAGAAATAATTATTAAATGCAAATTAAAATAATCAAAGTATGAAAATAGAAGTATCAAATACCAAAAATATATTTAGGGTAGAGTTAGTGGCTTAGCTAACTATGATGAAAAATTCCTATGATTTTTCAGATTTGTACTTTCTGTATGTTTTTAATTTAAAAAGTTTAAACAAATTTTTTTAGTATAACTGATTATGTTTCTTGTCTTTTCTCAAAGAGATCACGATTCAAATCCCATCACCAATGTATTTTTCCTGTAAATAAGAAAATAATAAATGGCTGTGAAGACGAATATATCCTTCCTAATTTTGCTATGGATGATTTTCTAATGGGGAAACACATTTCCCATTTCACTATTATATTAGGTTTAGCGAAAGTAACCCGGGTGGTTGAGCTTTTAGTGGGCCGGATACTATTTGGGTCCGTTAGCGCATTTTGCATCCGCGTTGGGCAAACCAAGAACACTCAATCTTTCCATATTTACCCATCTAAATTGCTCTAGCGTAACAATAGAGGTAGAGGAGGTTAGCCGGCTGTTGAGTCTGATGGAATGTTTGGAGAGACGACGATGGTTGAGCGTTTAGTGGGTCGGGGCACTAATTGGGCTCGTTTACATTAGTAGTGTCTTTTCCATCCGCGTTCGGCAAACCAACATCACTTAACCTTTCCATATTTACGTCTCTCTTAAAGACATATGTGCCCCATATTCACTCAAAAGTTCTGTGTTTAAAAATATTGTTACTTTATGGAAGTTATAACAATTAAGTTTATGTTAAGAATTCTACATCGCTTCTAGACATTCAAGAGTGCAATTCGGTATGCAATATTTGAATCAATGACATTTCGGTTGCTAACAATGGTGGAAAAGTCCTATGATTTTTTAGATGTAAACTTCCTGTATGTTTTTAATTGGAAAAGGTCACACAAATGTGTTTATTATAACTGGTTATGTTTCTTATCTTTGTTCGAAGAGACCACGGTTCAAATCTCATTACTAATGTATTTTTTTCTGTAAATAAGAAGTTAATAAATAACTGTGAAGACAAATCTACCCTTCCTACTTTCACTCTGGATGCAG